AGACATTAAAAAATTTGCTTGAGAATTGAGACCGAGGGATTGTTAGAATCTGAAGGACTAAGGGATTTAAGATTTTAATCATTCTACTAGAAGAAGTTTTTTGTGTCTATAATAATAAGCTTTTAATAATTTGTAAGTAACTCAAAATTTGCATTTTGTTGTTCCTTAAATGTCATAAGCGAATGTATACTCATAGTCTGAATGTGTTAAAAATAATATGATCCTAGCATTTGAGTGCTATTTCATTCAAATGTTTGACTAGATCTTTGGGGTTGAGGGTTTCTTTGTAACATATTTAATAATTCTTTTGGCTCATTTTCACTCATAGACCAAAAAGCTTAACAAATTAGAAGCTACCCACTGCATGTGAAATGTTCATACTCATCGTGCTATCATTAATTTTAATTAGCATGTGTTGACTAAAAGTGATGTGGAAAATTTGTCCAGTACCCAAACATATTGTAAACCTAATGGAAGTATATTCTGTAGCTGATATTCAAACTCTCTCTCTCTCTCTCTATGCAGTATGTAAGCATGCTTACTCTTTGGCTCAAAATCTGGACCCTAACAGTGAGGGTAGGGGTGTATAAGTTCAAGACTGGGTTGATGTATGTAATTAAGGTATATTCTTTATTTCACCATGGCAAATTTGTTTATATACAAGTTACAACTATGCACTTCTTTTTTTGGCAACATAAATTTTTGTTCTCCTTGCATTCACACAACCAAAAGGTATTGTGATCAGTTCTTCCTTTCTATTTCACTTATGGCCCATCAGTTTTTTTCTTATTACTGATTTTGGGGCTTCAGTGTCCATTTGCAAGGGAGTTAATACATTCATTTGACAATTTTTTAGCTTAGGGTAACAACAGACTAATGGAAAGGGCACACTAAACTTTCTTCACTTCTTACTTTCTATAAAGTTTTTGACAGTTAATGTTACTTTCTTTGTCATTGTTGTTCTACTTGTTTGGGGCTTCCTTCTTACAGGCTTTATATAGGACAATCATTTTGTGCTATTCTGGTCTGAGCAGAACAGAATTTGGATGAGCCAAAGGACTTTTATTATTGTAATGAAAAGTTTGCTTTTGATGATACTCACCTTACAATATTTTCAATCAATCATGACAGCAAAAACTAGCTAAACGGGAAGGTGGAACTATTGACAGAAGTCAACACATTGTTCGCTTACTAGAATTCTACAGACTATATCGAGAGCGCCATAATGTGGATAAGCTTCGAGAAGAGGAGTTGACATTGAGAGAGTCAGGTGTTTTCAGCGGTAACCTTGGAGAGTATGTCTTATTCCAAGTAATTTTATATATTGGTTTTCAGCGTGCCCTTTTCTCTCTGATTTTCTTTGTTTTCTTTCCTAGATCATGGGAATTTTTTAGTAAAAGGTGCAAATATGAAGTAGCTTGATATACCCTTTCTCATGTATAATTTCCCTCATCTAGTTTGGATGGATGGTCTCTTTGGAAATGCTTGATAACTAACATTGTTAGTTTCTTACTATTGTGGCATTTTATTTACTATACACTTGTGTAAATGTTTCAAGGATGGACTAGGGGAAAACAGAACGCAGTTGAATTGTCTATCTGTGTATCCATTTTAAACATTTTAAACCAACCATTGATTGATTATCTTATAGTGTTGTGAATTTAGAGATTATCTATGAAAGTTCAAGGGGTTTTGGTATCCCATCATGTCACCCTTGATCAACATGATTTACTAAAGAAAGGGCCACATTATTATTTTTAATTATGTCATGCAATCAAGGGTGAGATGAAGAGAAGGGTACTAGAACCCCTTGACTTTTAATAGGTACCATTAAGTTACAAGAATATAAAATCTCTAAGTCATAAAAGCCCTCTATATTTGTTTATTTTTACTACTATTCTAGTTTGAATTTGAATTAGGTTGGAGCGGAAGACCATTAAGAGGAAAAAGGTTCAAGGAACCCTGAAGGTTCTGGGAACAGTCCTAGAACAGCTGAGTAAGGAGCTTCCACATGAAGAAGCTGAAAGATTAATACCGCGAGAGGTTAACTAGCTTTTTAACAAAACTGTTAATTCCTGTCCTAGGGGATTTGTTTGTTTGTTCTCTCTCTTTCTCTCTCCAGATTTTGTTAGTTTTTAATATCATGCAATTATTGCATGTTTTCTTGTAAATTGACAATGACTAATGTTTCAAGATTCTGCATA